GCCGGAGGGACCGCGGGCACTAATCTCCGCGCCGAGGGCCTGGAGGATCCTGCGGAAAGTGCTTTGGAACACGTGCGGTTTTGTCCACTCTAAGCCTCCTCACGGTTGAGCCCAAGGAGTTTCCTGGCTCTGTGCAGCCGGTGCAGTTTCCACTTGCCGGCCGACACGTGGTCTCTTATACACATGCTGAGACCTGAAGTAGGTACAGTTACATGCCCTGGAATACAGAAGTAATACGGCAGTAATACAGACTTCATTCTCAATTAACTGTAATAATGGGAAGGGGCAAGAATAATCCTAGGCTACTCTATTAGGTACTTTATGTTTTACAATGAAAAATGAACTTCTTTACCAGTTTTCCAGGAAAGGGACTGTTGGTATCTTCCGATAATTGTTTTGAAATAGAGCAGCAGTGGTGCTTATCTTCTTGATTTATGTTTTTGTTCTTGACAGCCAAATACCACAGGCCATTGTATACAGCAGGGGAACCCAGTGCAGCACCAGTTAGCCATGGCCTGCTCCAATAGGTCACTTAGTTCCATATTTACAGGAGAGTGATAAAGGGAAATTTCTCATCGTAGTGCAGATATGGAAACGTCCCAGAACATTCCATCACGCAAACCTGCAGCGTGTGCTGTTACACTGATAAGGGGAAGATGTGATTTAAGGCAGGCCCAGTCTCTCAGAACACCACTCAAAGGAGTTCTCTTTTTTTCTTTTGCCTAGGTAGAGCAGTGTCTGAAGCGCCTGTGGAAAATGAATTTGGTGGGCTGCATTGGAACTCTGGTACAATTGATTCCCAAGTAAGTGTCATGATCCCATGTCTTATGCTAAGTCAATCTACAGAGTCAAAGGAGGATGGGATGCTAGATCATAACCAACTCCTCGTCCTTGTGTCAACACAGGAACAATACATCCAAAGCCCACACAGAGTGTTTAGTTCCCAGTCAGCCTGTTCTGGAAACGGTGGCTCTGAAGGTATTGGGAGGCTGCAAGCTCATACTACGTCTGCTGGACTGTTGCTGTAAAGCTTTTCTGTATCCTTTTTCCACCACAAAAACATTCTTAGAGCTCACCAACAGCATCTCATGACACCTAAACCAGGTCAGCTGTGGGCCCTGTATTACTGATGGACTCAGCTGTGCAAGTCCTATGTGCAACTTTAAGTTTCTGTGGTAGCCAACACCTTATTTTCCAGTTATTATGTAGGAACCTCAGGCCGTTAGCTGGCTGCTGTTCCAGCCTTGAGCGGTCCAAAGTCAGGATACTCATCTCCCAAATTATTCCAGGATATTGCCTTGTGAATTGGCTCTAGTTGGTGTGTTCAGCAAGTCTCATTACGTGCTGTTTGTTGGTTTGAATCCTTAACTGCTGTGATCTTCAGCTTGTCCATTAAACATCTCTGCTTGAAAGAATTCATACTGCTGAACACTGTGGCTTCAGGGCTGCTGAGCAGGCTATGGTCTGTGTTCCAAAGTCTATCTGGTTTGTTGTGCCTGTCAGGGAGAGGAGCTTGTAATTGGGCGTTGCTGCTTACTGAGCTTTATTCAGTTGGGTGGAGGGGTATGTGTGTGTGGGCTAGCTCCTTTTGGACTCGATTCTAGCACCTCAAGAGTTGTACAAGTGAAGAGAGATCTCTTACATGCTGTTATGGAAGGCTTTGCTCTTGGTTCATAGCAGACTCTGTCTAGCACTAATGAAATCGCAGTGTTCAGTGCCAGCCTACCACAAACACCAACATCTGGTACTCTGTGCAGCAAGCAGTACGTCCTGCCTTGTGCTGAAATGGAAAGGCTGCGATAAATGTGTTCTGTAATACTGAGTTTTCCATGGAGATTGGTGCTCTGGTCTCTCTGAGTGTGGGAAAATAACTGCTGTCTGTAGTTGAAGGAGTAACAGCTTTGTGTAGGGGAACTCAGTAATACATTGTTTGGCACAGGATATCTGTCTCTCCAGGATGTATAGAGGAGGCAATTTTATGGCATCAGTCTGAGCTGGTACAGGGTGCTTTGGGGAGAAGACCTCCTGGCAAATTTGGATGTGACCTGAGAATCTGCTGAGTCCTGGGTGTGGCGCTCAGCAAAACTCTAGGAGCAGAGGGGCTCCTGACCAGGAATTTACTTGTCAAATCACTCCTACATTCTGATCTTGAACAGGTCATTAAAGCTCAGACTTAAGCAGGGTGGTGGAGTGTGAAAAGGTAAGCTTGTACTGAGGGGAAATAGGGAAAGGGCAGCTTGGAATCTCTTCTGCTTGAGCTGAAGGTAGTTGTTTGGTGAGCATAATGTTATGCTAGAGGAGACACCATATATTTTTGTCTTGTCCAGGATTCAGTACAGGTGTGTATTGCAGAACCTCATGTCCATGTACGGCGTCTTGTCATCGTCACTTCATCTGGTATCTGAGACTCAACAGATGCCTTACATCAAGGGGTTTACCTTCCCTTCTGATATCAATAGCTTCCTTGGAGTTGACGTATCTTCTGAGATGAAGATGCAGAAGGCTAAAATGCATGCAACAAAAAAGTCTGCCAGCTGGCTGAAGAAGCTCTTCCCAACAATGCCAGAGACAGTGTCAGAGGTTGGGAAAAAGAGAAATTTTTTGACCTGTATGAGTGCTGTGAAAGACTGCAGTATCCCATGCCCTGTGGACATTGGAAAGACTGTTCTGGAGACCAGAGCCAGGAGAGGTAAAGCCTTGTGCCACAGTGCTGACATATCAGAGACTTCACTGCACCTTCTGTCCAACAGAGCCAAGCACTTCTACTACCCACAGAGTGTGGTTCTAGTACAAACTCCTCTGTCCATGGAGGAAGGGAATGCTGCATGTACCCTTACCTTTATAAAGCTATGGATGTCAGTATTATGATTCTTTGGGGGTTTCTTTCAAACAGGATACAGCCTGTAGAGAAGCAGGTAATGAATGCAGTATATAGGTCCTGAAAATAGTTAATTGTATTTTCCTGCTTCTGCATAGATAAGGACAGTGAGAAGCTAAGAGCACTGTCTGCAGTCCATGCAAGTGTAGGTAAGGCTGTAAGTACAGGATGCAAGTATCCCATGCTTGCTGGTTCTGGAGTGTGCCCAAGTCATCTTCTGCAGTCAGGGCTGTGGCCAGTGACTGCAGGCATCCAGGTGTTTGTATGAAGCTTCTACCCATTACGTTCTCCTTTGCAGCCATCTGTAAATCTCTGCATCCCCCTCATCCCTTGCCAGCTGCCATGCAAGATGAGTGTAGTCCCCTTGGGTTTGCCTGGCAATGCTGAGCACAGGTGTGAGCCTGCTGAGGCCTCAGCACAGCAGAGCACTGCAGCGACTCTGTGCAAAGACATTAAAAGTGTCTCTGCTTTGTAATGGGACCTCTCTCTCTATCTCTCTCTCTCTGTGCAGGGAAGCACCTGGGGTTTGATGTGAAGAGCTTGCTTAGGCCATCCAGACGTCCAACACAAGAGGTTTGTATGGTACCATTTTACATGTTTGTGAGGGTTTTTTTAATTTAAAGACCCTGTCACTTAAAACATGACATCCCTGATTGAAAATGTCCCCTTTGCCTGCCTTATTTTTGCTTTTCTAACAGCCCAGGTTAGTGTGGAAGCTTTGCACAGAAAACCATTACTCATTTCTGCTTAGAACTTTGAGCATTTGTTGGTTTGTCAAGTGAAATGACCAGAGAGCAAGCCAGGAGTAGAGAGGAATACAAATTCTACTTATCTGCCTCTTCTTTTATACTCCATGAAACGTAACTGCTTTTCCCCTTTCTCCTGAGGAAATATTCTCACGAAAATCTTAGTGTTCTGCTCCCCTCCAGCAGAAAGGATCAGGCACAACATCTTTTTAAAAGACTGTTCTTGTTTGTTTCAGGGTATAAGCATTGCATCAACCCCTTTTAAAGCAAAGTCAGCACCACCTTCCTCTCGTATAGCAAAACTGCAGCACACTGGATCTCTTGTTCAGATGGTCCGAACAGCCACGTCCTTTGGGGAGCTGTCAGAGGCACTCAGGAAGGCTATTCTGTGGTGCAAAAACAACAAGTTCAAACCAGAAGCTTATTTTCTGCGTAACAAGTTGTTGAAAAGCAACAGGCTGCACCACGTGGAAGCTCAAGGATACAGGTAGTTTTGCATGGGTGTGGGATTTTTGGATCTAACACTTTACGCTTCAATACGCATTCTGCTACAGTACAGTGAAATAGTGATCTACCCATTCTTTGAAAACTCCATCAGGAGTTCAGATTCAGGTTAGCTCAGGTTACTGGAGGCTCTGACATGAGCATTGTGTTTAGCTTCAGTTGCTTTTGAAAGGATTTAAAAGGCTGACAAACACACAAGATACTTCAGAGGGAGGATGAAAATGCAACTTATATAATCTGCGTGATTATATGATGCAAGGGTTGTCCTCAGACTGCCCTGGCTACTACTGTACAAGGTGCAGTTCTATTTCCTTGGTATGGCAAGGAAAATGATAGACAAGGCTACTAACCAAATCTCTCCAAAAAAAGTAACACTTCAGTGGCTGATAAAGTTATGTTTTGTGCACTTTCTTCCCCTTAAGCTTGAAGAAGAAACTGTGCTGTGTCAAAACATCTGTGCGTAAATACCTCCTATATGGGTCACACCGTCCGCGGTGGCCAAAGCAGCACCTCGGGGCACGAAGGAACATCAGATCACCTGCATGCTTGAAGAGAGCTCTGAAGACTGTTCAGCAAAAGCCTTCTGAGCTCTTTGGGGTCTGTGAGAACAGTGCACCACTCACGCTCCCAGCTCACCAGGATGGGCCTCCATGTCGAGCAGAGCGTTCCGATACTGATACAGGCTGTGTCACATGGACTCCTGAGCGGCTGCTGCTGGGAGGAAGCCCTGGCCCTGCATGGAAAGAAGCTCCTGAGAACACGGATATTGATTCTATTTTTGCAGCAATAGGTGTCTGATTCTGGACTTGAAGAAGGAAAGGGGTCGAACTCTAACAGTTATTATTTTTTTAGTAAAACCCTGTGATCTCTATTGGTGTCTCTGTAACTCACATCCTGAATTCTGCTAAGAAAGTAGCAACCATTTTGTTATGTTTTTGTAAAACAGCTTTTTTAATGGGTGTTTCTTATATGTTTAAGGGTGTTCCAAACAGCTGAATATTCTTTACGCTTTTACCTAACCTTGTGCAGGAGCAGTGACTTTGAGTTACCCTTACCCAATATCCCTTCTCTGTTGCTATGTTAAGTGCTGCTGTCAGATCCACAGTGCAGATAGTTCCCACCCATGGCAGAAGGCTGCAGTTGTGATCACTTACTGCTGCTTACAACAAAAGACTTGCTGATACTTTTCCAAGCCTTATACCCTTCCTTCTGTGCTGCTTGTATAGGCAACAGCCTTGACATGCAGTATTATTGCTGTTCCATTTGTTATCCTTGTCCTGAAATGAGGAGTTGGCTGAACTTCTGAGCTGTTACAGAAATAGGGGAAACCACAGCTGTGGCCTGCAATAGTAAACTACCAACTGATGAACATGTTTCTCACTGTCCCAAAATAATTTTAATCTTAAATGCAATTTCTGCCTGCTTGGCAGTGTAAAGCACAGATACTCCACAGTGTTACAACAAGCAATGGGCTTAGTGGTTTCTGCTGGGCTCTTGCTTGTAACTGATTCCCACAATCAGGATTACTGAGAAATACTAAGGGAAAAAATTCTCAGAATGAAGAACAGGAACCTGGTTTAGTATAGAGCAGCTGCTTAACAGGGGTAAGGAAAGGCTGTAAGTGCAAGTAAATCAGGGATGGGGCAAGTTCAATTTCTTAGGCTTCACAGCAGTAGAATGTAAGAGCTGTGCACACTGGGACAGAAGTAGTAACATTGCAGGCCCTTAAATGCTAAACCCCCTGTATTATGCTCCTTGTGTGAATTGATCAGTGAAAGTTTAGTCATGAGGAGCGGGCACAAACTTAAAATACTTTATTCAAAGAGCACATACAGAGCAAATAACAGAATTTTTATCATAGTTTGGGATTGAAGTCTTTGTCCAGATAACCAAAATCTATTTTGTAGGTTTCCTGTCACAGGCATACTCAGCCATAACTAAAATAGTTGTAAAGAATCACATGTTATCAGCCTTCTTGCCATCTGATTCAACACAGGCCTGCTTCAAAGGCTTCCTGCCATTACAGGTGTTTGTAGAGCTCTTGTTTCATAAAATAGTATAAAAATGCCCAAGTATACCACATACAATCAGATAACATTTCAGCTGCTTGAATATTTCTCGGAAAAGGCTGAGAGCTAGGGCAGACATCCCAGCAGTGACCTCCATCCTGAATAACCCCTTCAAACAACACACAGGATCTTCCTCTTCACTGGGCAGCAGGTGTCCCTTCAAACAACACACAGGATCTTCCTCCTCACTGGGCAGCAGGTGTCTAAGTAATGCCCCAGTGCAGTTAGTGCACAGAATCAAGATCCATAGTTTGCTTCATCGAAGGCCTTCCTGGCCCGTTTCAGTTCTTCATTCATAGTTAGGAGGTCTTTAACTCTGGCAAACTTCCGTGGGTCCTTGCGTATTAGAAAGACGATGTCCTCGACCTGCACGCGGCCCTGCCGCCCGATCGACATGGCCTTGTGTGTCTGTGGGAGGGGAAAGAAGGGAAGTCAGCAAAGCTCCTTTGCACCTTCAGGTTTTTAGCCTCTCAGTTCCACTTTATTTCCTGTCATTTTGTAATTAAAAAGTAAGCAACTGCACCATCATGCTAGTCACAAGAGAACTTCCCAGTAAACCATGGACTGACAGTTGCTCTGCTGTGCCCAGCTGCCTGTCACACCCAGCACATACCACTAGATACGTATCACATAATGGTATCAAAACTAAAGCCAGATGACATATAGGGCACCCAGCCTGCAGAATGCGTGAAGATGAACAACACTGGGCACAACTCAAGCAATGAGAGGTAATCGTATCACAGGGCAATGTGGGGCATTTTGATGAGGAAAGGCAAGGCCAACCTTTCAAAAGGGGAATGTTTGGATACTTCAAACAGTATAAAGGCAAGGCCAACCTTTCAAAAGGGGGATGTTTGGATACTTTCAAACAGTAGCCAAGTATCTGGAAGAGTAAAGGTTTCAGGACTAAGAATGCACATCTTTTGTAGTGCAGAGATATGTTCCCATTTATGTAAAAACACCAAACACAAAAAGTCCAGAGACTTTTGAAGCTAAGCCTTGTCTTCTGTCAGCTGCACATACAGTGATGCCACAGTGGACCCCACAGTCAGATGTGTATTTCCCCTCCTACAATACTAATCTGACTGCTATGTAAGGCCTTTAGCCAGTGTTCTAAATCCACACGGAGCAAGACATATGAATTTTGCTTTAATCTTGGAAAAGCAAAATCCAAGTTCAACTTTCTCCTACTAGCATCGTGATTTTGGGGCCTGGGATAATGCAGTCTTTGAGTCAGAGGCATTAACCTTCAGAAGGCTAAAGTCTTGGTGATGATGTTTTAATGGTGCTGTCTAGAGCTGACTTACCATTTCAGTGATAAACTCTATTACCAGATCCTCCAGAATGTCCACTGATTCTGTGTAAGGGTTCTGGTCGTCCCCAAATCCATACATCATGCATCTTACTGCACAAAGAAACACTCAGTGTGAGGCTTTAGTGCTGTCAGCAGCACACATCTAGTTAGAGCTCACCCACAGCCTGCACACTCCCGGCACTCTCGTCTGTTAGGCAGGACAATTTTTCAGCAAACAGGCAGGGATAAGCAGGTAAACAGAAGCCAACAAAAGCCAGGTGCTGTACATACAGAAAAGCACATCTGATGGCAAATTCTTTAAATACTCATTTAGCCTGCAAAGCATTACACACTGACTGACAGTGCAACAGACTTTAGCACAGCTTCAGAAGATGCACTAGCAGTACTTCTTTTTTTTTTGGGGGGGGGGCTTTCTGCACTTGCAGCCAGGGCACAGAACGAAAGCAGTTAAGGAAAAGTGAGTTTTTGGAACTCCACGGCTGCCCGCTCAGAGTTTCAGCAGGGATGGGGGGGAAGGACATCACCCTCAAACCAGCAGCGAGGCGCTGGGCAGGGC